TTTCTAATTTACATTCAAATACTTAGGTGTAGAAATCCGTATCCACAGTTCAGAGAAATCAAAATTATTTTGATAAGCTTTGATGTTATACAGCCAAATCAAACTATATTTACAAATCATCCAAACACCAAATTAAACGGCACAAAAGTTAACCTAGTTTCATATACAGTAAAACTCTATAAACTAATAATAATATAATATCATGCTTCTTTAAACTTCTGAGTAATCTCGGGGATTCCTTAGGAGATTGAATCGTCAAGTTGTACCCACTAATGTCGATTGCACTTAAATATTAACCTGGCCAAGGAGGACATTGTTCTTTCTCTACGAAAAGATTGCATTTTTTCTATTCTCTCTAAACTCAAAAGATAATAATAATAAACATGTTGCGTTTCATGCTACTCTCTCTAACTCTTATCAGATTCATCAACCCATCAAGCATCCCCAAAACAGCAGCCACTCCACCAGCCAAGTACCAAAACTACAAAACGTTCGTGAAAACAGCATGCAATTCGACAACATACCCTACAATGTGCTACAACTCATTGTCCTCCTACTCCTCTACCATCAAGGCCGACCCAATCAAACTCTGCACAACGTCGCTCAGCCTCAACGTCAAAGTCGCCAACAACGCCACATCCACCGTCTCTAACCTTCTCAAAAAGGCCAAATCGGCCTCCAGCCCCGAGGTCCCGATCCTCAAGGACTGCCTCGAGGAGATGAAGGACACCGTTGACGAGCTCAAGCAAGCGATCACCGAGATGAAGAATCTCAGAGGCGGACGAAAATCTGCTGAGGAATGTCTGAAGAATGTGAGGACTTGGGTGAGCTCGGCGTTGACAGACGAGGGCACGTGTACGGATGAGTTCGAGGAAGGGAAATTCAATGTGGAAACGAAGAAGAAAGTGAAGAAGGTTGTTACTGATCTTTCAAGGACTACAAGCAATACTTTGGCCCTTGTTACTAATTATCCACGTTACTAAATTATCCCTTTTAATATATTCAACTCTAATATTTGCATGTGCATGTTTACTTCTTCTTTTTTGTTTGAAATCAATGTTTATTCATACCAAAAAGTTTTAACAAGGAGAATAAATTGATTTTGAAAAATGTCAATTTGAAAGTCGTATGAAAACAGAGCTAAAACGATTTTCCGGTGCAAATCATCGTGTGACACACGCTTACTTCGTCGTATGCTTGGTCTCTCATAGTAATGGAGCAAAGCTTCTTCTTCTTTATCTCTTTGTTATTATTATATATTCCAAGTTTTCGCAGTATCTTGAGTTTCGGCCTATGAGATCTACCTTAGTCATAAAAAAAGTTTTTATAATTTTTTTTAATAAATATTTTGTTGGACAGTAAAGATGTTTATGAATCGCACA